GCAGGGGGACACCAGGAGTCATAATGTCGTCATTGGATGAACTGTTTGGGGACGTATCCAGTCTGCTCTGAGTTATAGAAACCGATGGATTTGCAGAGTCTTACCCTCGTACTGGTGTTTCACGGTGTTCCCAATATCTGCAAACTTTCGATCCTCGAATATCATGAAGTCATGTTGATCGGCCAGCGCTCGGAGCTGGGCGGAGACATCAGGTGTGAAGTCTATCAGAATATCCACGTGAGTCTTCAGCATGCAGATGGACGGTCCCAGCTCTGCAGCCAGCCGGAGAAGACTCGCAGAGTCGGTAACGTCGGCCGATACGCAGAGATTACTCTTCTTCTTCTCCATGATGGCGCAGAGTCGCCGGGCCAGCGGGTGAGCCCCCGAGAGGGCAGCACGGGAGGAGTAGCTCAGGGCTGTACAAGGTTTCTTGACTGGGGCAGATGGAAGTTCGATCACCTTGTTCTCCTGGATGAACCTGCGGACGTTCTCCACCATCTCCGTGTCCACCTTCCCCAGCTGCTGCAGGACGTTCAGGAGTTGTGTCAGAGTGCTGACCGAATGGAGGCGGATACCGTTCTCGGCCAGCCTCTCCCGACCACCCTGCTCTCTGTCCACCAAGACGATGGCATCCGTCACCTGGAGACCCTCCTTCTTCAATACCTCCGCCGTCTCCAAAACGCTGGAGCCGCTGGTCACTACATCTTCAATAATCAGACAAGTTTCTCCGGGGACAATCGTCCCTTCAACAAGCTTCTTCGTTCCTGTAAAATGACAGGAAAAAATAGTAACAACATTATACAAAGTTCTAAAGAAACCCAGGTGATCTGACAGTGTTTATAAACATTGATCAGAGGGAGATAGAGAGATACAAAGTAACATTGTTTATAAACATTGATCAGAGGAGATAGAGAGATACAAAGTAACATTGTTTATAAACATTGATCAGAGGGGAGATGGCTGCCTGGCATTTCTCAGGGCGGGTTTCCTGATGGTGACAACAGTGGACAATGTCAGTGCACTTGTAGTCTCCACTGGAAGCCCATGTGGCAGAGTGACAACACAGCAGAACCATAAGGAGACAGGGACATACATTGTCGCCCTAAAACAGGAAGTACCTAAACAAGGAGCTCCATGGCAGGATCACCAGGGATTATTTTAATGAAATCTGCAGATATAAAAATATTTAAAAAAGGAACTTTTCAAGATTATTTGATTTTTAGGTGATAAGTTTTACATCCATTTTAAGAGGTTACTTTACTGTTCTGACTTCATGTTGTAGAATTTAGAGTCCTGATATTAACCACTTGAAGACCGCGGTGTTAGACCCCCTTCCTGTCCCGGCCATTTTCCAGTGTTCAGCGCTGCGGTACTCCGACTGACATTTATTCCGTCATGCAACTGAAATTAATTTTATACCATGTTTTTGGGACAGACGGAGCTTTCTTATGGTGATATTTAATCAGCACCGGGGGTGGGGTTTATTTTTTACTATATTAAGGAAAAATTACCAATTTTTTTTCCCCCAAACGGTTTCCCCTATATTAAAATGATAAAACATTTATATTTACTCAATTTTTTGGTAAAATATAAAAGTCGGGGTCGCGTAGGGTAAAAAGACACCAAAACATGTCAAACTTTAAAATTGCGCGCACGAAACCTCAAAAAACTACAATACCCAAAATTGGCCATAGGCGACGCGTTTAAAAGCTTCTACCGCTCACAAATTTAGTGTTATCGGTGATTGATGGGCCGAGAATTATTGCTCTCATTCCGAGGCTCGCGGCGATATGAAACATGTGTAGCTCAATTGTCATTTTCGCGCGCTGGCGCATCGAACGTGCGTAAACGTGGGGGGGACTTAACAATTCAGGTGTTTTTTTTTCTTTAATATGCGACTTATTTTTTTAAAACTTTTTTTATTTTATTTTTTACACTTATTGTTATTGCTATTATATAGGGGGAAATCAGGTGTCCGGGAGGAGCCGCATTGGGTTGGGACTGCAATGGCAGGGGTCAGGAGGGGGCGGCACTCATGGCGGCAGTGGCACTTGAGGAGGGGGGGTAACGGCTGTAAAGAATGGGCGGGTTTTTTCTTCCCGTGTGCGTGCGCTAGGGGGCGCGCGCGAGCAGAAAAAAAAGCCATCTAATTACGGCAATTCGCCCATGTGAGTCCGCCGTCCGTCTGTTTTTTCACAACGGGCGGACGGCAAGAGGTTAAATCTCTCTCCTCGGGACAAAAAAGCAGCATAAACATTCCATCTCCTGGAAGCATTTTATTCAAACATCACCGACGGACACGACAACAGACTGTGCGACGTGGTGAGCCCAGAGAGGACTGCAGCACCCCCCTCTGGCCATGACAGCGGCTCACCATAGTCCTTGGCCTCCTTCCTGCGGATCAGCATGGGCACCTGGTGCTTGGCACAGATCAGGGTGGCGAGTGGCAGGGCAGTATATGGCACTCCGCACACTGTGCTGCATTGTATGCCGGCATCCTGGGAGGTCTGATAGATAAGATTTGCTACCTGCAGGGGGGGAGGAGACAATCAGATTGATCAGAACCGTAACCCATAGCAACCAAAAATAGTTTTATTGATGTAACTTATGTGGGTGAGAGATTGGTTGATTCTGTACTTACTATACACCCCTCCCATGTTCCCCTCCATCTCTCTGTACACCCCTCATATGATCCCCTCCTCCTCCTCCTCCCTGTACACCCTTCATACGTTCTCCCCCTCACCACCATCTCTCTATACACCCCTCATATGATCCCCTCCTCCTCCCTCCATAGCTGTCCCCTCACCTGGCTGAGCAGGGCCGGGTGAGACACGATGACTCTCAGGTCGAAGTACACCGGGGAGGAGATGCCGCTCTTCAGCAGAAATTGACCGAATTTAAGCGCCTCCACCCGGTGCAGCTCAGCCGCCAGAGAAACCAAACCCTCCATGTGTACCACGTGTGTGGGACTTCAGGCGCGCAATGATGACGTCAGAGAGCCGCAAAGCGAAAGAGACAGACACTGCAATACCCGAAGAGTGACGCCAGAGGGAGACAGAGCGCCTCACCAAAGCTGAACTCCGGCTAGTGAGAATCGAAGAGCAACGATGGAGATTGTCCGTCTCTGAGCTCTGGCTATAACACACCAATCACAGCGGCCGCTCGCTGCACCCCTCCTCCAATCACAGCGGCCGCTCCCTGCACCCCTCCTCCAATCACAGCGGCCGCTTCCTGCACCCCTCCTCCAATCACAGCGGTATGTAATACACTGCACAGTGTATAGAGTGCAGGGGTCAGGAGTATATAATATACAGCACAGTGTATAGAGTGCAGGGGTCAGGAGTATATAATATACAGCACAGTGTATAGAGTGCGGGGGTCAGATCATACCGGTAACCCGTGTTCCCGGACCATACACGTGGATATAGTAATACTGATATTTGTGACAACACGCGTGTTTCATGTTGCAGTTCTGGGGCCAGAGACAGGCATGGCGGGGTCTCCATTCATGTAGCACAGCCGTGTGTTGTGATCACCGTCTGCATCCATTCTGCACTGCTGCCCATCACCTGCTGCTGCACCTTCCACCGCGGTCACAACCTTGCAGCGCGTGGAGACAATAAAAGATTACAAATCACATCTCAGGAGACATACCGTGTTTCCCCGAAAATAAGACAGTGTCTTATTTTTTTTTTTGCACGAAAAAAGACACTAGGTCTTATTTTCGACTTTCGGGGGAAACACGGTGTCTGGCCGGGGGAGGGCTGGAGGAGGGCCGTGCCCGGCACTGTCAGAGCCTTCAGTTTGCGGAGTGCAGTGTCTTTCCTGCGTGGGGGGGAGGTGCATGTGACCCTCCAGGGGGGTTCCCGGCCTCTATAAACTGCACCCCATGAAAATGAAAAATGTAATATCAGGAAATAGCACGTGATGGCCACTAGATGGAGCCGAGGATCATCCAATAGCTTGGTTCTCATCCAATGGGTTGCGCCCCCGTGTTCAGTGGGTCGCCGCGTGTCTTCCTCAGTCTCCCCTTATTGCAGCACTGCCGGTTCTTGATCCAAACAGCCATTCAAAATATGCTGCCCGGTGCCGAGTGTCAGCTTGAGATGGGATGGAATGGGGGCTATGGCCGTGAGGGAGCTCCACCCATACATGCAGCTGCCTCACATGTCCTGTAGAGGTGCCTGGACCGGAGTGGCGTCAAATTCTGGCCCCCGGCACCTCTACAGGACGCGCAATGGAGCTGTACCAGCATTGCACATGGATGGAGCTCCGTCACAGCACAGCAGCCCAGCACTGGACCCCAGGCTGAGGATCCGCTCCAGCCTGGGAGACTGGGGGGATCTTTTGAATGGCACCCCAAATGAACTGCTGAGTCAATGCTGGAGGGAAGGGGTGGGGGGTCAGGACGAGCTGGATGCATCACTCCACTCTTACTGCAGCTGCAGAGGTCACACAAGACCCTTTTTCAATGCAAATTTACTGCTTTTTAAACATTTTCTAGTATTTGAAGGTCCAGAGCCCGGCCCGAGTTCTGCTTCAGGGGCACATGGCAGGGAAACGACCATTGGTGACCTTAAAGTGTACCTGTCACAGCCTGGGGTCACCAAAGCCAGCATGTGATAACAGTGCACAAGCCGGGGTCAGCTCGCCTCAGTAGTCAGGAGACATAGAGGCGGGCTCTGTGTGGAAGGCTCACCGATTGGTCAGCTCCGCCCCCAGGTTTCTTGTCCTTTTATATGATGGACGTCAATGACAACAGGGAGATAAGAGGAGCTGCAGAGGGTCTTGTGACTGCGACTTCTTTTTCCCATGACTTTCTACAGTTCAATACCAATGACCACCTTCGGTTCTCCCGCCACATATCAGGAGCTGATCAGAGATTATTGATACGTGATCAGAATGGATCGGTTAATTTGATTAATTTGCACACAGAAATGTTTTATTTTTTATTATTTTAGGAACTTCCCCGGATTTCTCTTTGATACATTGTTGCTCTTGTTTTATTATTATTATTATAGATAAATATGCAAAATTAAAAATGTTTATTTTCTTCTAATGTATTTTTTTAATACGGTAAATCTGTCTGACAGTTACAGTATTGAATCAGTGAGCGCTGCCATGTGAGACATGTGACTCTTCTGTCACAGCTGACACGGTGATCACGTGACCGAGAAGGAACCGCTCTGAAGGGTCCCAGTGCCGGAGCTGTCAGTCACAGCCGGGGATTGGGAGCCGCCGGCCATGCACAGTGCCGCTGCCGTCTGTCAGAGGAGGATGCCACTTCAGTCTTCTATCAGACCTCTGAGCTCCTCACAATATTGCATTAGAAGCCGCAGCAAGTCAGATAGAGCTCCGCCTCATTTCCTGGTTGGAGGACGTCCAGCATCATCTAGCGCTTTCCTCCCCAGCATGAATGTCCCTGGTCCCGCCCCTTTTCATTCAATGGATCTCAGTTCTGTCAATCATGGAGGCTCAGCATCACAGGTGGGCGTTCTGCATGCAAATACATCCTGCCATGTACCGCCCACTCCTCCAGACTGACAGCCACCCAATAAGACATTTTGATATTTGCATAACTCCTCCCAAGAGCCCGCCCACTCTTGCACCAGGGCGGAGACACCTACAGTCTAGATGTGGGGATGAT